CTAACTATTCCATGATTCTATGATTCTATTTTTGTACAGTGCAAGGTGCCGCACCAAGTCTGTTCCTTGCAGCTTGAACAGTCCTGCTTCAGCCATGGGGTGAGAGGGGATCTCCAAGCTGAGGAACTCCAGACAGGTTCAGCCATATCCATCTCCCCCCTCCCCTCAAGGGATGTGTTCTTCAGCATGTCTTTAGGCTGTTCCACACCCTCAAAGCACTAGGCAAAGCAGTCAGAAAAGAACAAAACACTCCTACAATCTCATAAAAAAAAAAAAAAGTAATTCATAAACTAGCTCCACCCCAACACATACCAAGAACAGAAGTCACATCAGCACACCCATCTCCCCATTCCCAAGCAGGACAGGGGGTCACCCCAACATCCCTCTCCCCAGGTCAGCAATTTCAGTGTCAAGTCTTAAAAACACAGTGGACTTCACAGCCCAAACCAGAACATGCCCCAGGGCGGGCTGTGGGGACCCCAACCCTCACAGGCCCAAGGCAGAGGGAAGTTTAATTTGATGATGCTTATACAGCCACCCTGCAGCAATGCAAGCCAGCACTGTTCCTCCCCCTGCATGCTTTATTGGAACTATTTACCCCAGGAATAGAGCAGGTCTGGGTCCCTGCTCCCACTCCAGACTGACATCCCAGATATCCTTCCCACACCTCTAGCTTGCGGCTGCATCCAAGAAGTGTAGTTCCACCTGGTGTCAGAGAGCCCAACAGCAGCAGCAACTGCAGAGCTCCAAGCAGGCGGGAAGATGAGAAAACCCTGTTTATTCTGCATGAAAATAGGAGGAAGAAGGGGTAAAATGAGGGGGGTAAATCAGTTCAAGCACTAGCCAGGGGTTTGGTCTCCTGTTGGCTTGCTGTAAGGCCAGCTGCTTACTGCAGGGCAGCTTGTCTCACCCAACCACACAGAGCATAGATGCTTTGCAAATCATAGCCACTACTGAGCAGTGGTTGCCCATTGCTTTGTGTCAGGCTCTGGGCAAGCATGCTCTGTGCTGTGGCCACCCTGCCCAGGGGCTCTCACTGCAGGAAACTGTCCAGTCTGGCTTGGCTGCTGCTGGAGGAAGATGTGGAAGGAGCTGCAGATGCCGGCCTTGAGACTTTCTTCTTGCTCCTCACTGCCAGTGGACGGATTTCTGCCAGGTTTGTCTGGAGGCAGAACTGTCAAGGAAAGTACAGACCAATGCCCTGGAGACACAAGTGATCAATACCAGCTGCAGATGGGCCTGAACCAGACGTGAGACCTAGCTGTACATTCTTTCTGCAGGAGAACTTGGTCTTAGCCCCCTACTCACAGCAGCAGAGCTCAGGCATGCTCCTATCCCATGATTCAAGGAACACTTCCCTCTTCTGTGCTACCCCCTTGGCACAAAAGAGACTGTTTAAGGGTATCTATCAGAGCTTCAAGACCTACCCTGCATGCCAGAGCCAGGACACTGTGCAAGGAAAGGCACAGCAACTACAGCCTGCAGCTTCCTAAGGCAGAGCAACCCCGAGGGAAGAGCAGTTTCCCCACCACAGGGTGAGCTCAGCCCAGCCTCTCCTCACCTGCTGCAGGGCTGCCCACCGGGACAGGCACAGCAGGGCAGCAGCATCCCACAGGAATCGAGGGGCTGGAAGGCAGGCAGCCAGGAAGAGGCTGTGCTCAGAGATCCCAAGGGCACAGGCAGTCCCTGTAAGTTGTACCAATTTCAGGCTGATCCACTCCTCTGAATAAGCCACCTCTGATAATGCTCTCAGCAAGTTCAGATCCTTGATGTCTCTGCTGAGCTCAGACTTGCTCAGAGTCAGATGGAGAGAAATCTGATGGTTCCTTGAGGGTCTTAGCCCATTTTTTGTTGGCTGGGGGACAGGACTCCTGAAGATGAGCTGAGGCCAAAAAGCATGAACAGAGGAGAGGTCTACAGCATCACTACTGCCTTGCGAGCTGCAGGAAAGGATACAGGCTGTATGAACTTTGTTCTGCCTCCCATGCCATCATAACCCGTCCTCACCTAGGAGAGAGAAAGAAAGGAGTCTGGAGCAGCAGCACAGAGCCTCGGCTACCTCTCCTCACACTGGTTATGTGAAAGGAGGAGCCTTTCAGGCTGCAGCTTCTGGGGAGGGGTTACAAGCACCTGGAAACACTCAGTACTGATGCTAAGCCCTCACCTTTGGAAAAAGGCAGACCCAAGGGTACTAGTAAAGTTTGGGTATCTTGGGGACTTTCTGCAGCAAGCTGAGACTCCCAAGCAACAGCTTAGGATTTTGTCACTGGGACTCAGTAATACAAGGAAAACACCCAAAGCTCTAAGGAGGTGGAGGAATGGGATGCAGAGAGTCATTCAGTCTGCTGCCAGGAAGGGAATGAGCATCTGTCATCCCCGGAGCTCTGCAGGACTGGGAAGTAGCCAGGTCACACTCCAAGATTTATTTTCCACACACTGTTTGTGGCAAAGTAAAAGCCTCCTTCACTTCCTCCTGCAGGGTCACTTAAGGACAGAGGCGTGCAGTGCCAGCCCTTGACACGCTCACCAACTGGACAGTCATACTTACAGTGCCCACATTCCTGTGTGGATCCAGCAAGCTACCCGAAGGTGGCTTCTTGGAGAGAACAGAGTTCCTGATGAATGCTGGCAACAGTCCTTTAAGAACATCATCCTCCGGATCATCTGCCCAGTTCTGTCCCACAAAACAATGAGAAAAGCCCTTTATCCAGCATGATCTGCTGAATTTAGTCCACAAACAGGGAGCACTAATAATGCAGACAGCTACTTAGGATAACGGTTACTGCTGTACCACGTCAGGCCAAAGAACAGTAGTTTCAAACCTCCCACCAGGACTCATGTGGAACAGTGCCTGGGACATGGCACCCAGCAACCCTGGGAGAACAGCCCCCTTCACTGACCCCACAGCCCCATGTTGTGTTTGCCAAGCACATCTGAGGCAGGGTAATCAGCAAGAAGCATGTAGGTCCCCATCCTCCCTCTCCTGCCCAATTCCAGGAGGCCTGAGGCAGCATTTCTAAAGAGACTGGCAAGCAGAGCACTTTGAAGCATGTACAGTGGTTCTACAGATGGGCTGATCTGCGGTGACAGCATCTCCTACATGGAGAAAATGGGTCCTTTATCCCACGCTTATTAACAGCGGAATCAAAGAGATGATACAGAAAATCAAGATTAGTCTTTTACCTCCACTGTTTCCTTCAGAACTTTCTTCGCCAGATTTACCACGGGAGGCCTGCAAGAAGCCCAAGGAGCAAATCAGCAGAGATTTATTGTTCAAGTGGAGCTGGCAAGGACAGACAAGGCCAAGCAAATGACGACAAAACTTGCAGCACGACATCAGGCAGCTGGAGAGCTATCTGATCTCACATAGCAACTTCCAAAGAAGTGAGACTTTGATCTCCTTCAGAAGCAGAAAGAGGAGGGAAAACTCACGGCTTTTTATCCAGCTTCTGCCTTTTCGCAGGGCTGCAGAGAGAACTGCAGGGCTGATGTTCAGGGGTATCGACATCAAAAGAAGCATCTAGATTGATCTCCTCGCTGTGGGCGGGGCGGTGGAGCTTCGGGTGCCGCAGTTCCACAGGAGCAGGGCTGCAAGGCCATGCAAAGCATCAGCCAGAGGCCACCGCCTGCCACCAGCAGATGAGAGGACACAGAGCTGCACGATTGAGCTGAGGCAGCAGTGGGACCAGGATCACAGCCGCCTTCTGCTTACCAGCCATAGAAAGGACAATCTGAATCCCAGAGCTTATAGTCAGTGTCCCAAACTACTGTTCACCCCCAAATCGCCTGTGCTGTAACAGTAGCACCCAGAGCCCAGGGTGTACCCTGGCACACTGCTGCTCTGTGTACAACACAGCTTGCTGTACTGGGGCAATAGCACAGGCTCTTTGCAAGAAAGGGCTTGATAAATATGCAAGAGATGCCATTTTTCAGGCTAGATTCCTCTGCCTGGCCAAGATACCCAGTCCCCATACACCAGGACATGTTCACTGAAAGGCCAACTCCTGAGGCAACCACAAGAGCAGCTTTAGGGATATTTCCCTGCTGGGACATAGTGATAAAGAGTCTGTCAAAACCTAGCCCATTCTTCCATCCCATCCTGACCCAAACCCTCTGAAACTCACACCTTTTCCCAGCTAAACCAGACACCACCTTGTCAGCAACAAGAAAAACCCCACAAACTAGGATACAATAAGCAAAATGGCCATGCTGCTGTGATGCCTGCCAGACTAACCCATCTCTGCTCCCACAGCTAGTTAAACTGTCAGCTCTTACTTTGGACCTGACATCTCAATCTGTAGCCTGTATCTAGGGATGCACTTCACTAACCTTTCAAAGACTAGTCGACTGAGTGTCTCTCTGGTTACGGATGGCACCTTCAGAGTATCCTGCAGGATGTCTATCTTCTTCTTCAAGCTCTGGAGGGAAAAAGGAAAGCAGACAATGAGATGAGGAGTGATTTAGGAGCAGATACTTTGCCCCTTTCCATAAATCAGCATCAGGTGGAGCCCAGAGGTGGGCAAATAAGAGAGGAAAGGTGTGCTGGGTAATAGCCACTAAGCAAAAGTCAGCATAACTCTTAGCTTTGCAGTTGCAGGCCATGGCCAGCTGCCAGTTACTGCAGACCAAGGAATAACATTCTCACCAAGATCTCCTTGTCCGCATTCTTCAGATCCTTCTGGGTGCTTTTTAACTCCTCCTCTGTCTTCTCCAAGTCTAAAACTGTTTTGTGCAGCTGCAGAATAAACCCCCCCAAACAGCAGAGCGCTGGTTATGACACTTGTGTAAGGGAGACCACAGATCCCCTGTGAGAGCAGCATGCTCTGCAGCACATCCTACTTTCCCCTGTTAAAGGGCTCAGTTTTCCAGTGCCGGTCTGACCAACCTCTCCTATATCAGAGCAAACAAATGCCTAACCATTTCCTCAAGCTGCCTGCAGAGGGATCTCCACAGCTGCTCGCCCAAGACAAGCCTTCCTACAGTATTTCCTGAGCATTTATGCCTGATGGTGACAGCTTTTCCCTGCTCTAACACTTGGTGGCTGCATTCTGAATTCCTGCAGGACTGTGGACACACCAAAGCACAGGTATTACAAACCACAGGCTGGAGGACGGTTGTGCATCAGCAATACTGGCACATGGACAAGCCTGATTCAACAGGGAAACATGCCAGGAGCAGGGATTGGGAAGTGGACTGCCACCACATCAGAGACTTTGTGGGTTCAGGAGTCTGGGCCAGCCCACAAGTGTGGGTACAGTCAGCTCTCTGTCAGCCAAGCCAAGTCCCAAGTGCACTGACTCGCATCCTCCTGACCCAAGCTGGTAACAGCAGCTTGGCACCGACTCCACCAAAGCAGCTTGATTCCAGCAGCAGCACATCATGTAGGAGGTTAACTTGCTTGGGGAGCAGCACAGCAATCAGAGAACTTCCTTCTCCATTTCAGGGGACAACAGCTATGGCTGAGTAACAAAAACAGGCCAAATCCACCCACAGTCTCTCACTTTGTAAGCTTGCACATGGGGATGCCCCAGGGAACATAGAGCAAAGCTACACACACACACTTTTCATGGGGACTTGATACCAAAACTGACAAAAAGCAATTCCCAACGTGAGCTAATAAAGCCCAGCCAGGCCTGGAGCAGGGGGAGCACAGCAACAGGGGCACATTAGCAGCTCCAAGCTCTGTACCAGGCCAGCGACAACCCAGGCAGGTTCTGTGCAGAGCCACCTCCATGCCCACACTTTGGGAACCTCACCTGCCTGGGAATAGCATCATGCAGAAGCCCTGCCCTGGTTTAGTTGGCTGAAGGCACAAGGCCATGTTTGTGCCAAACCAAGACTAAGCCCTGCGCAACTGGTGCCGCCTCCATACCCCTTCCCATCTTTCCTACGTGCCCAGTTCTGCAGCAGGAGGGGCTGGCAGCTGAGTGCTCGGCAGCATGGCAGGATGAAGGGCTGCTTCCAGAGCCCAGTGGGAGCAGCGGAGCACCTGCATGCTGGCGCACTCCAGCCCCTCTGTCTGGCTCTGCACACACTGCCCCACCAGTGTCCTTGGAGACTGACAACAGTGAGCTGCTCACTCCCCACAGCATCATACCCTGCTCCAGAAGCTTCAGCCTGACACTTTAACACCACCGGTACCACTGAAGTAGTGCTCAGTGCGGGAGGGGGTCACTGCAGAGGGCTTGGGCCACACTTATTGACAGGGATCTACAACCCAGATGTCACCCTCAGGACTCACACTCGCCCTTTACCTTGCTATTGACAGAAAACAGCTCCTTTTTCAGCTTCTCCGTCATCTCACTAGACATCTTCCGAGCCTCCTTCAAGTTTTCATATTCCCTGCAAAGATACCAGAAGAGGCATTCTGTTTGTGAGAAGACTGAGCTAGAATTTCTCAAGAGACAAGCCAAGAAGACCCTTAATTTGAAGCTCTGCAACTGCAGAGCCACCAAAGAAAACCCAGGAGACACAAAGGCCTTTAGGGAACAGAACCAAGTGTACCAAGGCTGACCAACAGTGAGTCAACCATTCCAGTACACCATGGGGAAGACAAAAGCTGCATGGGATACATGCCTGAGAACAGGGCCTGAACAGATTTCACCAGCAAAATGGAAGCCAACTCCAGAGACATTGCTGTTGCCAGTGGAAAAGACAGACAGACAACATAACAGCCTCCATGCTGGCAACAAAGAGGGGACTTTGCTTTAAGTGACTTTTCAGAGACTTCACACTCTTGGCCATGCACATTCATTCCCAATTACACCACAGGGACACTCGCCTCATTACAGCTTTGTATCAAAGCTGCAATTATTCAGCTGCCATCAGAACGGAACCAAAAAAATCTGTGGTTTTGCCCAGCAGGACCAGATGGATTTCCAGGTAGGGGAGGGCAGCACTGCAGATCCTCCTTACTGGAGAGCAATCGAGGCACAGCTGCACAGTGCAGTGCAGCAGAGGGTACAGCCCAGCACCCCTCATCCACTCATTTCCCCCCAGGCAGGAGAGGGAAACGGAAGGAATAATAATGATCACCTTATAGGTGCACTGACAACTCTGGAGACAGTTCCCATGGTGACACACATGTCACTACAGTGACAGTGGGAACAGTTCAGTGTGACAGGCTCCAATCTAGGTCCCCAGGATCTGTCAGTCAAAACCCAGAGGAGGCCCAAACAGGCAGCAAGAGCCCTAAATTGCCCATGTGCCTGCTGGTACTTGGCAGAGGGTTCTCCCATGGCATACCAAGGACAGCATAAGCCAAATGCCAAGCCCACAGCACCTACTTTTTCAGCGAGACACAGTAGATCGCAAGCTGCTCCACTGCTGCCTGCCCGACTCCCATGTCTCTGATCATCTCCTCCACTTCAGGGCGCTGGCTCTGAAGCAACAGCTCAATGCTGCACAAAAGAAACAAAGTCTCCTCAGCTCATGAGTCACAAACAGCTGGGAGAGAGACTGAAGCCCTGCTTCCCCCCGGGAGGCTGGTGCAGCCTAAGCTCCTGCTGCAGGCACTCTGGATGTCATGGGAGAAGAGACACAACTGCCCCACCACATGCAGGGCTTTTCGCTAGGGAAGAAGAGCCCTGCGTGGACAGAGTAGAGAAGGGGCATCTGTACGCACACATAATGCACGAGGAGCTGATGTCCCAGCTCTGGGGCCCTAAAGCCCTGAGGCTGAGTGCAATCCTGGGCTGGGATTCTGTCCCTCCTGAAACTGTCTGGAAACAGCAGGGGCAAGAGCACAGACCTGCTACAATGCACGTTTGCAAACCTCATGGGGTAAGATGAACCAGAATGTGGAGGCCGCAGCAGGCAGAGCAGGACCCTCCCCTCCCTCCCAGAGAAGGGGAGAGGCATGCAACCCCCCGGCAAGGCCCGGGCAGAGCTGGGATCTCACCGCTCCATGGTCTTCAGCTTGTTTCGCAGGCGGCGGGCCTCCTCCTTTGAACTTCTGTTATCCTCCTGCTGCTGCTCCAGGAATTTCATCTGCTTCTGCAGAGAAGCAAGCACACAGACCGTTAGGAAGGCTCCAGGGATTGTTAGAGAAACATCCTGGCTTATGCGCACTGCGGGCAGCTGGGAGCATACATTGGCTCTTAATGCTATCACCACCTCAGCAGCCCAGGATTATGGAGAGTTTAGCTCCCTCCCTGCTGCACCCCCAACTCTGCTCCTTGCAAGTGCTGCAGGGTTTCAGTGCTCATCACAAGACGAATCTGGTGCCGAAACCACACCATAGCCTTGGTTCTGGTGGAAGCATCTGTGGGGCTGCGCAGTACCCTGTATGCAGTGACAATTTGTTTGTCAAAAGCAAAACCACAGCAAGCAAACCTTCCTATTGCTTTCTCCTCTGTGCACAGCTGATCCCTTTATTTTGCCTCCCAATTCTCCTTCTATTAGCTGCTCAGAGCACAAATAGGAAATGCCAAGTGCATCTCTTCTGGGACACTTCAGCCAAACTAGACACCCACCCAGGGAACTTCTTTCACCTGCCTGGAGAGGCTGTAAGCCCATTGCAGGCATCACCTTGCCAGGCTCTCCAGTAGCAGGCAGCAGTAATGGAGAATGTCAGCTAAGCTGGAAAAGCACAGATCTGCAGTGTGGACAAGGGGAAGCTGGCCTGTATTAGCACCGTTCCAGTGCATCCATGTTGTCTAGGTTTGCGTGTGCCTGGGCACCTCGCACAGTGCCTGCAAAAGGCTCTGGGCTTGGTTTCAGCACAGTGCTGACTCCAGGGAGAGGCCTAGCAGAAGACCATCACCTCAGAAGCTCCCTTCCACATGGAAGTTAAGGGATTTTATCTGCTTCCTGCCACAGAAACCAAACAGCTGTGAAACTGCTGGGACTTCGCAGAGGGACAGTGTCGCAGGCTCCCATGTTACTCCTGCTAAGGCAGAGCCCATCTTTGGCTCTCCCTAACCAGAGCTCTCTGCACTTCAGTCCCCGAAGCAGTGTTTTGTGCCATGTTGGAGCAGTCCCCAGCCCCAGACATGCCTGAAAGGGCAGCAAACTCCGACACAAAGGTTCAGCAGCATCAGATAGTGTTAACAGAAGACAGGAATAGCTTGCAGCCTGTGGGCTTGACCTGCACCATGGCTAGTTAAATCTACATTTTCACTGCCGAAGTTTAGTGCTTTAATCTCTAATGATGCAGTACAAGACAGTGCTTGGCATTCAGCTGGAAATCCTGTACACCACAGAAAAGATACTTCCAGGTCCCTAATCCTTCTGTCCTGCCCAGCTTTCCTTAAAGGACTTAAGCACACACAGAGGGTTCTGCAACAGGCAAGATAACACAGAGCATCCTCTGAGGTGCCAAGGCAGGCAAGCCAAGCACAGAGATGTTCAGTTGAGCAGCAAACACCAGATTCCACTGTCAGTTGTTTCTGCAGGAGTAGGGAGGATCAGAAGTATCCTGTCACTGGTATGCCCAGGATCCCATGAGCATCTCCAGCACAGCCCTTTACAGGGGCTGCCTTTACATCCAAGCAGACTCAATATAACCCCATGGTCAGGCAAAAACACAGTTGTGCTGGCTCACAGCAAGGCGTACCTGGCATCAATTCCTTCCTGTATCTGTCCTACTGCCCTGTGACAGCCCCACACTGCTGGTGTCAGGCAGGTCTCCAGGGCTAGTTCCTCCCAGAGGAGCCCAGCTGCAGGTGACAACCCAGCAACATCATCTACAGGCTTTCCCTGGACCACCTGGTCTCACAGGTGAAGGAACATGGTGCAGTTCAGGCTATTGGGCAGAGATCCAAGCAGCAGAGATCTAGGGAAGCACAGCCAACCCCTCCCATGCCTTTCGGCCTGCAACTCACAACCCCACATGCCTGAACCCCATCTTTCTGAGACAGTCATGTCCTCCTCACACAGCAGTGCCCATCCCAGCCAGGTAAAGCTGTTCCGCTCACTACCTGACACCCCAGCAAAGCAGCTCCTGCTCTTCCACTTGCTGTTTACGCACTATAAGACACCCCAACAAAGCAGCTCCTGCTCTTCTACTTGCTGTTTACGCACAGTACATGACTACGCACTGAGTCACTGCACGCTGAAACACAACAGGAGTATCTGATCCCTGGACTTCACACATTACCAGCCTAACTAGAGGCAAGCCCTGGCAACAGAACACAGACAGGAGAGTTAGCTGGATCAAATCCCACTCAGCTGAAGCTTTCAACTCCCCCTCCATATATTTCAGTTTGATTTCTCCTCCATTCAGACCAAGAAACTAATTTTCCTTGAATCCCGCCTGGCCTAAACCCATTCCAGGAGAACATTCTACCGCAGGGAGCCAGTGTTTCAGCAATGGGGCGCTGGGGCCAGTTCCCACACTCAGTTCATGCTGCTACCTTTATGATCAGCACTGCCACCTCATTAGCAAGGTTCAGACAGCATCCCCCAGGCTGGGCTGGCATCTCTCCCCCACCACAGCCACTTGTGCACACACCACAGGCTTGGCTTTTACACGTCTGAATCACCCCCAGCTGGAGCACACGCAGGACTGAGACCAGCAACACCACTCACTTTGGATTAATAAGGCCAAAATGAAAACCCAGCTCTGCTGCCCTCTGGTCATTCAGAGATCAAGAGACAGGCATCTCAAGGCAGCAGATCCAAAATCCCACCAGCACAACCCCTTTATTAGCAGGCCCTGCAGAGATCTTCAACAAAATTAACACTGACTGTGCACTGGTTAGAGGTGAAGTCTTGCCGGGGAGAGGAAAGGTACCTTGAGAGAGGAGCACAGCATCTCTGTCTCTCCCAGCACCTTCTGGAGCGACTCTATTGTGGCATTGCGCACATCCAGAGTGTCCCTCAGCCCATCCACAACTGCCTGGCATTCCCGCTTTTCTTTCTCTGGAAAAGAAAGAAGAAAAAGGTCATGGCCTGGAAACCCAGACCTCAGCTGCTCCACAGCAGCAGGAGCATGACAGAGACACTGCTTGCAGTCTCAGGCTCCAGGCTGCTAGGAGGTGGCTGTTCCTGTAGAGACACATTTCCCTAAGTGCTGTCTGCACCAGGGTCTATACTGAGCGCTTGCTTCTCCCACTGCCAGCCGGCTTCAAGATTTTCTTTACTAAAGATAAAAAAAATTGCCTTTAATAGCTTTCCAGTGCTAGCCTTGCTAGCATTAAGCTGGTGCATCTTAACTCTTGCATGCTCTCAAAGCCAGGCTTGCATAAGGAAAACCCTTCTCTCTAGTTACACTGAGCTGTCACAGAGATGGAGACCACAGCCCCAAGCCCATCCTCTCCACGTGGAGTCTTCTGTACCAGGAAGCCCTTTCTTGGGCTGTCAGGCAGCTGCATGCAGCGATCCACCACACTGCTGCACCTACGTCAAAGGGGAAGAGACAGTAAAGCAAAGCTCTGCTGGGCACTGGGGACTTCACAGGACATGCCACAGCTCAAGTAGATTCCCCAGAATGACCGCTTTTTGCAAGGCACAACCTTCGAGTTCTGCTGTCCCTCCTCACAGAGGCAATCCAGGAACAAAGCACATGCCTCTGACCACAAGAGAGAAGGTGGTGGAAAACACCACCAGAATTCAATTTGTTTTATTGAGGCAAGGGAAGAACATCACAAAAAGCAATAACCATCATCAGAAGCTGACAGACATAAGTAGGGAGCAGCCAGCATTGCTGGAAAGCTTGGAGCAGTTGGGCAGTGAGGGAAGACAGGAACCTGCTGTCTAACCCTGCTGAGAGCAGGGTAAACTCTTCAGCTCAGCATCTTCTGCCTTTGCTCAAACTGCCCAAGGCTCCTTCCTAGAAGTAGTGGGGAGCCAATCAGTGTCTTCCCAAAAAGCTTTTTCTCCTTGCAAGCAATCCAGTTTCAAGATTGTGCCACCACATCCCATGGAAGCATGACCTGCAGAGCAAGCTTCACTGCTTGATCCAACAGTAAAAAAAGCCACATGGCACTGGGGAGGAATAGAGGAACCTATCCCAGCAGAAGCACAGAGCTGCCATGGGAAACATTTGTTTCTTAGCAAAACCTTTTCCCTCCATTGATGTGGATAACTGCCCCCCCCCTACCAGAGGCAGCACAGCCTGGAGACATCCCCCTTCAGTTCTGCAGGGACTCCACATCCACCAAAAGAGTTCAGGCTTCCCCCTCCTCAGTTCCCAGCTGCCCAGAGGCAGATGGCAGGAATCAAACCTCCCCGTGCTGCAGGAATGAGCTTCCAGCTCATTCAGAGTGCCTCCCACAGTGCCTGCTGGATCTGCTCGGAGCTCAGCACCTCCAGAGCCATTTGCAAGCTGATCAGTGACTGGCAATTACACAGCTCCTCTACAGCGCACAGCACAGAGCACATCTTTCAAGTGAAGAATTTATACACAAGAACCACCAGAGAGCAGAGTGCCCGCAGCAAAAGAGGCAGGAGGTGGGAAGGAGCTTCTCATTTCCAATATGAAAAGAGAATGGGACCGGGAATGTCAAATCCAACCTCTACTTACCAGAAGCCGAGAAGATGAGCAGGCCTTCGAGCAGTTTTTCTTGGATAACATCCTAGCAAGAATCCCAGACACCTTCCCCAGAAGATCTGGCTCTCTACCAAGTCACTAAACTCAAGCAAGCTGGCAAGAGAACAGGCCTCAGAATAGAGACTTGCAGACCATCCAATTCTGCTCTCAGGCTAAGGACCAAATCCTCAGTCTACTGGCTATTCATGTCTGTCTCGTGCACGCAGGGAAGGCAGAGGAAAGACTACTCTTGTGGCGTGGGTGAGCCCCCAGCATTCTTTAAAGAGCTTTTTTTCCCCCTTCTGCTAGTGTGTCTTTGGATTTCTGTCACTCAGAGTGACATTTTCCTTTTGCTGCTCATGACTCATGTTCTGATGACAAGCTGCCTACAGACGATGCTTAAAACCCATCGACAAGTCTCCAGGGCTTTTGCTTTTCCTGCCTCCCTCAAACATCCTCTAAAATTAAAGATGGTAAAATGGAAGTGTACACACTGAACTCCGTCTGCTCTTCACGCAACACATGTGGCACTGCAACAGCCAAACACATCCAAAGCCTTCCCACTGCTGCTTCTGGGCAGCTAGATCTGTTGGAGGGAACAAGGCTTTGCCATGTGCAGCTGTGAGTTTCCCAGTGAGCAAACCAAGGGTTTTGCTTTCAGCAAGCCTGCTCCAGATATAGCTGTGCTGCAATTCAGTACCTTGTGATTAGGAAGAGGAGCAAGAAAACTGCATATATGTCTCTGAGCTTGCGGAGAGCTCCCCAGTTACAGCAGAGCTGGGCCAGGCTTTGGCTTTGTCAAAAAAAGCTTTGTCCAGCTTTAGGTGGTATCACCTTTAGATAAAGCAGCCTGAACTGTGCCCTGAGCTTCAGAGAGGGGTGGACTCTCCTTAGGGGTTCCTCAGGCCTGGGCAAGCCGCCTGGCAGAGGCAGAGCCCAGGACCTGCTGATCATGGGCTTCTGGCCCCCCTAGGTGGCTGGAACTCACCTTTCACAGACAGCTCAGCCTTCACCTTGTCCAGTTCATTCTGAAACACAACACAGAAAAACCGATTAGGAAAGAGGAGCTTTCACCAGATCCTAAAGGGACCTGAGAGGTTTCTTGGCAGGACATCTGCACCAGCCAGGTGCTAAGAAGGGAACGCGGTAGCAGCAAGCACCAAGTTACAAGCAAGTACTATCACAGGGAATGCAAAGAGCACCTCCAACTGGCATCCTTCAGGGGGAGAACAGAAGATCGCAGTTTCATCTTAGCCTTGTCAACCTTGTGTTTCTCACACTGTCAGTCATCTTGTTTTAGCTGAATAATTTTGGAAGGCTCTCAGGGAAACACAGGAAATCAGACAGGAGCAATTTTTATAATGTTTTACCTAAACAAGGCAATAAGGCAGGGATGTTGCCAGACTAACTGGATTGAGAGTTGCTCTGAACTGAAGCAAACTTGAATCACGTGCAGGTGGGAGACAGGAGGGTATGCCCAAACACCCGAGAAGGTCACCCAGCACACAATCCAAAGGCACCAGCCAGCATTCTGACCAACACTGAAGTCACTGCAGTTCAGGATGCTGATATGAGCTAACAGCTCAGTTGAATGGCCACAAACAGGTCACCCATAAACCAATCCATACAATAGCAATCCTGGGTGCCACAAGGCTCTGAGGAACATCAAATGCTTCTAATGCCTTTATTAAGGATCAGAAAGAGGCAGCAAATGCCCCATAGCTTAAATTATAGAGAGAGGATTTATAAATGCTGGCAAATAGTCAAATAAAATGGAGAGGTTATAAAGAGAGGCTATGTATATAACATTAAAAAAGGAGGGGGGAAAAAAAAAAAAAAAAAAAACCACACCAGAGTGAGAGAGACAAATATATACAGGAAAGAGTCAACAGAAGATGACTTTAAAAGCTGTGTTAGAGAACTGCAGAGGAAAGCACATAACAAGTCAGGCAGGAACTGCAGTGGAATAAAACCACAATAAAATGCCAACACAGTACTGAAGCAGAGCACACAAATCTGTGCAACCCAGAACGCTACATGCAAATCTGAGCTGAGAATAGCACTGCCAGTGACCACGGATCTGACGGGACCAGAGTGAAGCTCTGCTACCAACAGTAAAGGCAGGAAAGAGAATATGGGATGCAAAGCTTGGCAAGCAGGAGGGACTAAATGCAAAGCCTAGCAGAGCTGACTTGGATTTGACCCTGGGGGGACAACATCTGGAGGGTTGACATGGAATTAGCTCTGCTGCAGAAGCTATTCTGGAGTAGCTTCCTCAGAGTCCTATTCAGTAACGATTAGTGAGCTCACAAGATGTGCTAATTAGCATGATAGCAAAGAAATCCCAGGCTACTGCAGGCAGCTATGTAACATTACCTCATTCATCAACTTAATCCAAAATCCCTCATCCTCTACCACAGCTCCTAAAGGCTGCTCCCAATTTTCACTCCTCTGGTAGAAGCTCTCCTCTCTCCACTAGCCCGAGTTACAAGACCACATTTTCCCCAAGATCAAATGAATATATCCTGATCACAAACAGACAGCTGTCTCCCAGGTTTCTACCCTCCCCAGCAGGTTTACAGGCATGGATTCTCCTCCTCTTGCCTCCTCTTCACCTAGCTGAACAAGCCAAAATCTCCTAGTTTCCTTTGGAAGAAAGGCTCTCTGCTCCCCAGATCACAAGCAAATGGAAGTATCAGGTTCCAGATGGTCTCACCACAGTGCTACACCCAAAAACTCACACTTTTCCCACTCTGGAAACAGCCACATGGAGACTGTTCTAATCGCCAAGGACCATCTTTAAAAGCAACACAGGGTAAAGCCAGGCTCGGCATCCAGAAACGCTTGGGCATGTCACAGCATTAAGCCTGTGGTCTGCAGCTACTCCAGGGAATCAAGTTCCCTCCAGTGTTTCAATTGAAGTTGATGCTGGTGGTGGGAAGCAAAGCAGCCCTGGCACCACTTCTTCAAAGCCCCAAGACAAGAAGACCACCACAGCAAACATTCAGCTTCCTAGCACACTGAAGCACGCTGCATTGCCCCAGTCCAACCTTTCCATGGCAGGAGGCCAGATACTCATTTCAGGACATCTGCAGGCTGCAGAGATACAGCTCCAGTTGATTTCAGAGCAAAGTACCACTCTATGCCCAGGCTCTTGGAGGGACAGGCAGTGGTTGGCAACAAAATCCTGGGTTTGGGGGCTTTTTCAGATAAAATCACTTCTGGCTGACAATGTCACCAGTTCTCAGCCTCTGAAGAGCCTGGGGATGGCCCACCATGCGTTTGCTTTGCTGAACTGCTGCCCTGCCCAGAATCAGATACCCCATCACAGAGAGAACTCCAGCCTAGATGGACATTAAATAAAATCCCACCCCTGATTGTCAGCCATGTTCTTTAGATGCTCCATATCCTTCAGAAACAAGGCAGCACACATGAAATGTGTAACAAACCAGCATCAGCCCAGCAGCAAGCTGAATCAGTGCATGAGGCAGTAAACACCCATACAAGCTAACTATGCTAATCTACACCAAAAATACTTGGTTCTTTGCCTTTAGATAGTGACCTCAGCACTCTCATTGGGAAAGCTGCACACTTGGGGCCAGATGCTGCTCTGACAGCCACACAGCAAACTGTGTAGGAGCATGATGAGTTACCATCAAGCTTGTTGTGCAGGGGTGGCTGCACAGTCCTGCCTTTGAGCACGGGAGCAGTTCTTCAGCACAGCCTGCCTGGAGGAGCCCATCTTAGATCCCAGGGTGGGGGTGAGAGGGAACAGAAAGCTTTTCTAGGGCAATTTTCTCCAGTCAACCCATTTCTGAGTCACCCATCTATTTACACTTGTGAGAGCCGATCGGAATATGTACTAAAGGCAATGTTTATCTGCTCCAAGCCATTGCTTTGCTTCTAGGGAACACATCTTCAAGTGCCCAGAGATGCATCTTCATTTCCTCAGCACACACACTTCAGCCTGCAGTTCCTCTATTAGCAATCTTGGAGAACGACAGTGCTGCTGACATTATAGTCTGGCTGGCTCTATTTTAAAAACATACAATATACATATAGCATTGTCATGGCAACTGCTAATTATGGTAATTGCTGCACATGCTGATTCTAAACATGAGAGGGTACAAGCATCCCATTATACCAAGGTCAACCAGTTATTTTTTTGGAACAGATAACTCCAAGACATAAGGAGCCATGCTTCATCCACGCTAAACAAAGGAGGAGAACATGGAACAGCCACTCTGCATTCATCCCTCCTCACCCTCAGCTCTCTACACCTAACAGTAGAGCTCAGAGAACATCACCCAGCACCCCAGCTCCAGCCAGGATCCTCCCCAGGGACCAGCCTCAGCACTGTCACCACTGCTGGTGCAGCTTCAGGCAGTCTTTTTCCTAATATCTTTTGGGGAACCACGACTTTTACCACCCTGCCCCACTTCCTTTCAGTCTGTGCAAACAAACCCACCTGCACACAAGTGAGGAGGGGCACTTCCTCTAATGAAGGTGTTAGTAGGGCTCACACACAGCCAAGCCACAGACACCAGCAGCAATTCTTTGCATTTGGTATTTTCCTTCTCCTGCCTTTTGGAAGAGCTCTGTAGCCTCATCCCCAAGGCTTTGACACACCAATGGAGAAGCAGCAGTTGGATGTTTGTTTGATGATGCTGTAGGAGGTTTCCAGGTAAGGTGAGAACCCGAAGGAAGAGCAGTGAAGTAGAGGAGGCTTCACAAGTTGTGGTCAGGGGAACTCTTAAACCATCACATGGAGACTTCCTTACAACAAAGCTGAGACTGGGTGAGCACCAAGAGGGAGAAGAGAGACAGGCAGGAAACACTGATATGCTTCAGGTCTGAAACATCAGCACAGCACCACAAGCACCAGCTCAGGAAGCAGCTGCTGGCAGAGGATGGGCAGCTCAGACCATGTTTCCAAGATGCTGAAGCGTCACACAACAGATCCACACAACTTACCTGCAAGGTCTCTGCATCCGGCGTTGCCTGCTCCTCCAGGGCAACATCAAAAAACAGCTTATGGATGATGTGTTTTCTGCCAACCTAAACACAGGAGACAGAAGAGGTTGATGGGCACAGATACAGAAACACAACGGATATGGAAGACCGATGGAGAGGGAGAAGGTACCACCTTGTCACAAGGCCATGAAAGACAAGTCACGTGCTCAACGCCGTTAGTGACGATGCTCTGCTTTAGCTCATCAGCACAGCAGCAGACCCCCCACTCAGTTTTGTGAGCGTGACTCCAGCCAAGCTCCTGAGCTGCAGCAGAAAGATTCAGGCATTTCTGAATCAAGCGCAGTCTGTTCTCTGGCAGCCAAGGCCCAAGCAGCTGACGCTGAGCTAACATGATGCCAAATCCTTAGACAGAAGTACGTGATGCTTTCTGCAGGCAGAAGGTGCTGTAATTGAATTTGATAGCTCTCCACACCTCCCCCATGCAGTTACAGCTTTGTGTTTTAAGTATTATATACAGTCATGACACCAGCTAATTGCATGGTTACTGCTACATGAGATGTTATTTCGCGATAACTCCATGGTAACCCAGAGATGTAAGAGGCAATGAAGAACAGAGGGAATCAACAAGTCAGGGAATGAACAAGGGCCAAGACCTTGAGAGGAAGAAAGAAGCATGAACACAGAACAATCCTAAGCTGCAGCTGGCTGAAAACCCACATCTGAGCGCATGGCAACATCTCCCACAGCCGCTACACACCAAGACCTACTGGCAGCATCAAGGCTGGTGACATGAAGGACTTTAAAGTTCAGGTCCCAATTAAGCCATTCGATGCCAAAGCCATAGCTTCCCATCTCAGAAACAGAGCACATCCTTCCTTCACATCCTTCCTTCCCTCTCCAGCCTTTGCTTTGCTCAACAAAGAGCAAAGTGCTGCAAAGCACTTTTATTACAAGGACCATATGCAGCAGAACAGGCTGCTTACCTGATAGCAAGGAGCAGGGTACTCCAAAAACACAAGTCAGATTAACCTGGCCTGATTAACCCCTTCAGCCCTTTCTATCTTTATGCCAATACTTACTCAGCCTAAATAAAAGCCATGAAAACCCAGAGACCCTTTCTGGATAAGCTACATCAGGGACAGCAGCAGGGCACTCTCAGGCCACCCCTCTAATTGAAAAGGTTGCTGAAGGGAGATCACTCTCTAAGACTTTGAGGAGAGCCAGAAGTGACAGAAAACACTGCTTCATACCCTAAGCTTCTTCCTTATATCGCCCCAGGCCTAAGGCCACAGCTCCCTGAGGTCATTTGCAGAGTGTTGTGCCATAGAGAGGTGTACACAGGTGGTAGTTTACCTGGATTCTGCACTGTGGGCAGGTCCGGCTAGGTGCTGTGTCAAACCACTGGATGAGACTGAGAAAGGAAAAGAAAACACCTGGTAAATACTTAAACCCCAGGAGCACTGCTCCCAGAGCCCCCCAGCTCACCAGGAGACAGCAGCATGCACCTTCTTTCTACAACTAAAAACAGAAATGCAAACATTTAGTCCAGAGGTGCAACTAACAGGAACACCATGTTCCAGCGCAAGCACCCCACCTTCACCTCCAAGACAATTCAGAGATGAATTTAGTGTGTGAGCTTATCTTTACCAGCGCAGAGTCTTTACAGAGCTCAGATCTCCCTGGGAGAGAGCCTTTGGATAACCATAGCTTTGCAGGAGCAAAGGGATCACCATGAAGAACAGCGCAGGAGCTGCTGTATCAGGATATGACAGCCGAGATCCCCAGCACAGTCAGCTCCAAAGGGTGCTGCTGACACCAAACACACATCTGTGGAGTGATGGAGACTGGGCCACTCTGCTCTGAGATGATGAACACAGACCTGTCGGGCTCTCCAGGAGAGCTGCAAGTGCATTTTGCAACCATGGCATCACATCACGCTCAGAAGGGTTTATTTTTGGAGCACGGTAACAACCTGGAGCTAGCAGGTTTCCTTTGGAAGCTCTCCCTCCTTCACTGGCTGTTCGAGGAGAGCAAGCCCGAGCTGTGCCACTGGTCAAGAGGCGGCCATCCGCAGGTCGGTTAGCTAGCCAGGAAAGCAAACTCCCGCTCCCGCCCCACATACAGGGTTTATTTCTGCAAAAGAACCGCTTCTTCCAACACAAGCGCTTCCAGAACACCTCCAGCAGGAGCACGGAACCGCCCGGGA